TTCTTTGGATATTGACATTTGGAAATTTTAAATGATCATAGTACACTGCTAACTAAGATGACTGCTCCCTTTTGCTCTATAAATCAACCTGAATTTGTCTAAAGCACACTATCCTTGACAACTATTAAAATAGGAAAGCTCATTTCACCAAACAAGACAATACCATGCAGCTTCTAAAAGTGCAATGAATGAATTACTTAATACATAAAATGTAAAAATAGTTATCGGCTCATTTTCTTTTACAATTTACCTCTGAAGTTCAGGAAGTGAAAATGAGCAAGCAGAGCTAGCACTTTTTTGAAAGGTGCACATCTGGAGTAATGCCAAGCTGTATACTCTCGAACCCATATTACACCCATCAATCATACACTAAAATAAAGGGAATTAAAGGTTCTTTGAACAATACCTAAGATATACAAAGTCTTTTTTAAATAACCAGTATAACTAGTGAGGAAATTCTTTTTCTTTAAAATTCTAACTCTATGCTAAATACGAAACTGTAGAGTGCCACCACAAGGACAAAGCAGAAATACCTATGATCACACCTTGTATTTTTGTGTATTAAATTTTCAAATTTGGTCATCAAGAGATGCCAATCATTGTGATTTTGGATGGACTCTTTCCTAGCATAAATTGTGTGTCACCTTTATGAGAACAAGTCGTATTGCTCTCTGTTACAATGTACAAGATTATAATCTTGTGGTCATGTGGCATTCAAAATACTTGTACAATTATGATGTGCAATTATTGCCTACTTAAGCATACTGGTCATTTCGGTTTCCATGTTCAAAGCAAATTCAAGATTAAGGGGTTTAGTTTACATAATTTTAGTATTTTTTCTGACAGTGTCTGATTTCAATATCTGGTTATTTAAAAATAATAGTTTATCTTTTTGGGAACCACATTTTGGTATATATTTTTTTTGCGTACAAATATTTGTGGAAAAAATCATGGATCATAATTTTCCTTTGATCTTTCAGCTGATATTTTTATTAATAAAGAGTGAATATTTGCAAAATTTTCATGAAAAATTAAAATAAAATAAATTTCTCTGTAGAATATATAAAGGATTCACTTTAAAGCTTATAAAATGTTATTGGAGCCAAAAAATAATTACAAAATGTCATGGCTTGTTACATCTCATTAGCAGTGATCTGGAACAAGTATTTTTTCACCCCGAATGTATGTCCTTGTTTTTACCAGGCAATATAAGTTACATGTTGATTACCTTTTTCTGCTCAAAATAATCTTTGTATTGTATATTGTTCGAAATACATCACTTCTGCTTTAAGAAAAATAAAACTTCATACATAGCATCACCAATCTTGAAATGGGATTTTAGAGGAGGTAACTCATAGAATCTTTGCTTAATTCAAATTTTAGTTACTCCCCTTTTAACACTATGCTAGGCAGAGTAAAAAAAATGACACAAAATACAGAATAATTTACATCTGAAGAAATTTATTTTAGGTATTAGACATAATTATTATCAGACAGTAAATCTTATTTATAAATATATTCAATAACAAATGGAAAAAATAATAATATTTGTTAACATTTTCATCTTTTTTTCAGTGAAACTTTGCTATTTTTGCACCAGATATTTTTGAAAGGATTGTGTGCTAGGTTAGAAAATTGGCCTACTTTAGTTTTAGGTAAGTAAGTTAACTAAGTTAGTTTTTGTTAAATGTTTCATTAATGCAATTTTTAATTACATATTAATATTTGTTGTATTGCTGGCATCAGTCAATTGCAAAATGATATGCTTCCACTTTTGTAGCAGAGTCATACTAGCACTGGAAATTTACTTAATGTATTCATTGTTTGAAATACATGGTCTCACATGTCTAGGGTGCACACAGTTTTGGGCCTGTGGATCCAGATTTTTAAAACAAGTGCAAGGAAATGTGCACCAATATAATCAGCTAAACTTCAAACCAAGGAACTTTTATGCTAATACAGTACATGCATTGTGTTTTATGGAAAATCCACATTCCCATAGTTGATCTTAATCCTTTGTTATGCTGTGTCCATCATGTACATTACATAGTAGTCATTGTGACTTACTCATATCATGGGTTGTAGTGAATAGATTGAATTTATTGCCACAGCTCAGTCACAGCAATGCAATTATTAACTGTGGACAACCAACACTTCCCACTTGCCTGTTGGTGCCTCTGCAGTATATATATATATATATATATATATATATATATATATATATATATATATATATATATATATATATATATATATATATATATATATATATTAGCAGGTTTGCTTAACATGTTCCATGCGAAGTAAAATATACACAGCACTCTAAATTTGTTCAGTATAGAATTCCAAAATGAAGATGAATGTAGCACATTAGAAAAATGCATATTTTTTTTAGTATTGATGCCTTTCTTCATGTTGGCAAAAAGAGACAATGGGTGACATTGATTAAAAATCATGGTTCATAATCTCTATATCATGTTTATATGCTATAAAACCCATTTTATTTCACTGAAGATGCAGTTTTTTTACCTAAAACTAGTCTGTAGTGTGAGACAGCTTTGGTAAACGTGTTATAAATTTGTGCTGCTGGGATAGTTGTATGATCAAAGGGATCATAATAACTGTGTATGGTTTGTTTTATATGCACTAGAAACTTATTTTATGTGAAAATATCACGACTTAACCACATTATTTTTCAGTCAGTTTTAAAATGTCAAGAATTCTTGTTTTCCACAAATGACAAAAACATTTTCATTCAGAAGTTACTATTTTGAAACACTGGTGCTAAAATATAATTTTGAAGCTTAACACCATCCTAGCTTTTTGACACACACACACACACACACACACACACACACTCACACACACACACACACACACACACACACACAAACACACACACACACATAATGTATCTACACAAAAATGACCATGCTCCAGTACATCAGATCAAGAAGTTTTAAATATAGACTCCACATCCAAAGCAATGATTGGTCTTATGGAGGAAGTTGAAATGCCTGATCCATCCTTCATGATGATGCGAAAATAAAGCCAGAATTACTATATCTGTGAATTCTCCTGTATCAGTGAATATAGTAGAATCTTTGATTAGTCTTATTCATGATGTTGAGATGTGCTCTCCAACACTTCCATGCAGAAACACTGTTCCAGAACATACTCAATATGTGATGTAGCAGAAGCAAAGCGGGGCCCGGAGTGGCTGAGTGGTCTAAAGCGCTGTCCATTATGGATCACTGCCATCTCACCTCTGTCTTCGTGGGTTCGAGTCTAGGATTCAGCGAATGTGGATATGTGAGAAAGCTTGCCAGAAGCTTCTCATGGGTGGGTGGTTCTTTCCGGTGATTTCCAGGTTTCTTCCTCCACCATTAATACTGGTCGCCATGAATAGCCTATCGTGTGCTGAAAAATGGCATTAAGCCCAACCAACAACAACAGCAGAATCATAGTTTCAATACATACTGCATCTATGAAAACAACAAGAAACTACACATATCAAGCTTTACATATGATCAGATGACTCCATTATTTTGACAGGTAGAAATGAAAACTTATATCCTGTAATCTTACTGGTAATAGGCCTAGGACCTCTCCAACAAGACATTAAAGCTCACAAACAATTAGGACCATGCCCATCCAGTTTGAGTGCTTGCAATCAAATAGTACTCCCACCTATGAAGCATGAAGATTAGAGCTTGTAATCAAATATCACTAACACCTATAAGGTGTGAGGGTTTACAGCCAAACTTGCTTCCTGCAGGTGAGGTGAGAGCATGTTCAAATATCATTTACTCTGTCTGTGCATGAAAATACTGAGAAACATTGCCAAAATATTATAGTCTCTCAAGACAGGTGGTCTCTCATGATATGTCATACCACTATAAAATCAATATGTGCATGGAGAATATGGTCTTTCAAGACAGGTGGTCTCACATACCAGTTATCTTTCAAAACAGGTTTTACTTAATCATCTTTTTGTATGCCATTATCACAGCTGACCAAATGATTGAACTGTATAACAAGCCATATACAGTTACACTAGTAAGGAGTCTGTTACCTCTCACTAGCTATTCTGCTGTTCATGTCTTTCAGCAGCAATGGTATGCCAAATGGACCACTTTGCTAGGTGGCCAGTAAACAGATTGACTGAATCAACCATTTCTATGAAATTCTTAGCATACTATAATTATTTATGGAGCCATCCAACCAAGCCAGGCAGCTCTGGACTGATATTCTAATGTAGTCCCTAATGATACCACATCTATTGGGCAGAGTGATTCATGCTGATCATTCTTCATCATCATTGCCACATTCCAGAACGTATCCCTGGTTTCGAGGTGTATAAGAGGTAAACAGTCCCCATGTTGATGACAGGCATGGACTTAACAGAAGTGTCAGATCATGCAGATCCAATAATGAAATGGACAGAATTTAGTTCCTTGCAGCTATAAAGGAAATTTGTAGGACTTTGTCAATATAGGAATGCCCTCCTGCAACGTCAGTAAAAGCTTGCCTAAAAGGTCATTGCCTGTTTGGATGTAGACAGATATGGCAACACTTTGTGATTCAAAATCTTGCTACAGTTGTTAAAAATCAGCAGGCATCTCTTGCAGCATTTGTAGTTCTGGAAATACAAGAGCATTGTGAGTCAGACATTTTCTCCCCCCACTTGTAAACAATTAAAATATAGAGATATCTGCAGCCATACTTTGTACAGATACTCTGTCACCCATGCCATATGGTGACCAACCTTAGGTGCCATATTATTGGTTGTTGTCAGATTTGTACCATCATCATGGAGGGAGTGTCTAGATTTCATCATCTAACTCCCACCTCCACATTTGTTGTTCTACCATGATGTTGAAACTTCCAAACAATGTCATGAAGATGAAAGTTTTACAGAAGAAAATCTATTTTTTTTGCTTGTGAAGGTAACATAGATAGTACAAAACACATGCCTTCAACTCCACATTAATTCAACATCTCTGGCGGCCTAGTGGTCAGAGCATCTGCCTCAGATGTGGGAGGTCATGGGTTCAATCCCTGGCCAAGCCATACCAAAGAGTTACAAAAATGGTACTGAAAGCTGCCTCACTTGGCACTTAGCATTAAGAGGTTAGTATTAGGATTGATCAGCCTGGTGTCAGGATAATGTGACTGGGTGGGACAACCTGCTACGTGTCTGCAGCATGATCCCCAGTGCTACATCACTATAAATTGCCACACTGCAGACATCCTAGAGATAGGACTGAAGCATTGTTAAAGCTGTGTTAAAAATCTAAATCACACACAGACACACACACAGACATACACAAATTACTTCTACTTCAGGTTTAAATTACTTCTACTACTGGTTAGTTACTTTTACCCCAGATTAGTTATTACTGCTACATGTGAATTATTTAATTTCTACTACAGGTTAGTTATTTATACTACAGATTAGTTAATTTATACTACAGGCATACATGCCAAGTTTTCAGGGAGATCATTGTAGACAATCAGGGAGATTGGGTCCAGGTCAGGGAGATTGTAACTATTGCCCCATTAAGGTTAACATTCAGGACTAGTTATAATTAACAAAAAATGTCATAAGGTCAGCCACTCCACTCATGTAGATGTGATCATACCATACATGCTTAGAGAAACTCCTCTATCACACTTGGCTCCTTTCAGGTGTGTCCAGATTTAATATCTAATATTTAATTTAATTTAATTTATATTTAATTTAATGTCCAGTTGTGCAGGGGAATTTAATGATCCTTCTCTTTGAGGACTTACAAGGGGAAATCCTTCTCTTTGAGGACTTACAAGGGGAAATCCTTCTCTTTGAGGACTTACAAGGGGAAATCCTTCTCTTTGAGGACTTACAAGGGGAAATCCTTCTTTATCAGTAACACAAGTAACACAAGTAATGTCACATTGCTCTAAACATCAATTGCCCAGCAGTGGATTTCTTTCTCTTTAAAGACAAGAGGTTATATCTTATCACAATCAGGAGATACATTCCATTATCTTAGACACAATCAGACTTTAAGAAAGAGATGATTTTCGATGCACAAGAAATTCACTGACTTGTGGTCAAATTTTGTCATATATCTGTACCACAATCACTCACACCATCGAAATTGCATGCAGTTGTATTCTTTTGGTTCAGCCATTCTAAGGACACAACCTAGTTTTCTTTCAAAGAACAGATTGCAATCATGTGTCAACCAACAAATAACTATTTGTTGCCTTTTCTTAATTGAAATGTTAAGAGAAGCATATTTACAGGATCCTTTATATATATATATATATATATATATATATATATATATATATATATATATATATATATATATATATATATATATATATATATTCACACACACACACACACACACACACACACAGATGCTGCCTGTTAGGCATGGACAGTATCCAGATCAACCTTAAAAAACTATTCCTATCACAGAAGGCAGGAAAGTATGACATAACCCTACAAACTATGGCTGTTTGGATAAATTCAGTTATTAAATCAGTGTACACTGAACTCATGAAATACAAGCAACTGCCATGATCCAGCTGTCCTTAAATGTAATATCTCAGTTTTGCCATATTGAAAAAAGCTAACTGGCACACCTTGAGTCTGTCTTCTCTAGCTTTCATTTGCATGACATAACGAGAACTGAATTTTGTTGGGTTAGAGGTAACTGTGCAGACAGTGACCACACCCCACATTGACAACCATAGGCGTAGTAATTTTCCCTTTTGCTGAATTCGCCAGGGAAACTTTTGATGGTGAGAATATAACCAAGTTTAGAATCTTACATGGATCTCCCATACATGTGTATAATAAATTGTCTCTCATTGTGCAAAACTTATAAGTTCACTCTTTTAGTAGGGGATAATTATCAAGCTCCTACTGGTTGACACTTGTAGGATTAGATGCTCAGCTTTCCCTATTCTTTTGGCTTCTTTATTTAAGCTGTCATCAGGTAATGTATATTTCATAGGGCTCAGGAAGCAAATTTTGTAGTAAATTATGTTTCATTAATATGTAACTAATAACATTTAATTTTTCCCATAATTCCATGCATTGAGATCAGCCTTTAAAATTTTGTTCAATAAAAATTGGTTACAATATCGAGGTGTAGCAGTAGTGGTACTAAAAAGGGGTGTCAGACTGAATGAGATCATTCTCTTTGTCCATGTAATATATACATAAGACAAAAAGTTATTCATTTTTCTGGCAGGACTGAACTCTGAGGTACAAGAGAAAGTTACCCTAATGTAATTAGATAATAATGTGTTCAGTTAAGTATTATTAGAGAAACATAAAAATTGGTATTTTTCAGAATCATAATTTCAGTTTCAAAACAAGTTGTACAAAATTTCAATTTGAGTATTTTCCAATATAATGATTGCTGTAAGAGATACCATAATTAGAAGAAGTCTGTTCTAGAAAATGATCATGATGTATGAATATTTACTATTGATTCCTGTGAGTTGTCCCCATATATTTGAAGCAAAAATCTGTTAAAAGATTCAATATCCCTAATTCTTCTTGTGTGTACGTCTTATGAGATTTGTTTATTTGTGACATTGTCAATAGAATCTAAAATGAACTATGATGTTTTTTAAACTTCCTGTGACTTTGCCTGATGGTAGGATTTAAACTTGTAAGATTTTGATCAAGAGTTGTTGATGCTAACCACACAGTCACCACAGCTCCAGAAAATGTCTAAAGAAAGCATAAGTAATACTGGTTAAATAAATTTTGAATTGCAGATAATTTTTGTTGTGCATTTAATTTCAATTAAATATGTCTTTCTTCTTGGTGATCAAAGACAGTGAACCATTACAGCAAAATATCATTTATCATAACACTGATTTTATTAAGATTGTCCAGATAACTGATACATTTATATAGAATTGTTTGTGTCTAGTGGTTTGATGATTAATCAAAATAAATGTTAATACTCTTTGGAAAAGTCAAATGATGAAGCATATAGTTATGATTTTCCTTAATTGAGGATGAATGATTTAATTTATTCTCTCTCTATCTTAAATTTTTAGGATGAATTTTTCAAGAGTCAGATATGTGAATGACAACTTCTAAGTCATAACCTTCTGATTAGTACAACTCAAATGCCAAAACAGCCAACAAATGTGCCATTCAGCTTCCTGAGATAGAAGCAGCTATAATGTCCATATTCATGCAAAGTTGGTGGTGAATCAGTCACACTAACAACACTTAGCACATGCAAAACATTAGCCAGACACATGCAGTTCAAATACAGATTTTGGAGGCCTTATACAAGCAGTTCATTAAAATTTTTTAAATGCTTCATGCATGCATTTCCTGTACCAAATTTGGATGCCCGATACATGCAGTTAATGTACAGATTTTGGATGCCTAATGCATGACATAAAGTATGAGAATTGCATTTCCAGATGGGTGTCAATCTTAATCAACTCCTACCAATTTCTTAATGACAGCAAAGAAAACCTGATAAAACATGGATGAAGTACTATTTTTATGATACATATGAATAGTAAATCTTTTACATTTACCTTTTTTAGCCATATGACAGGAGGGTTCTGTGCTTTCAGTGCTTTTGAAAGTATAAAGCATGCAGATAATTATTTTTCTGCTAATGGGACAACAGTATTCTCAGGGTTTTTTCTACTAATGACGACAACAATATTCTGAGGTTTATTTTTCTACTAATGGTGCTGTGGTATTCTTGAGGTTTTTTTTATACTAAGGGGACAATGATATTCTTAGGGTTATTTTTATACTAATGGGGCTAAGGTATTCTTATGGCTAGTTCTATACTAATTGGGCAACGGTATTATTAGATTAGTTTATACCAATGTAGACGATGGTATTTGGAGGGTTATTTTTCTACTAATGGGGCAATTGTATTCTGAGGGTTATTTTTATACTAATGGAGACAGTGGCATTCTTTTGGTTATTTATGCTCTAAAGGAACATTGTGATTCTTAGAGTTGTTTGTATACTAATGGTGATAATATTATTCTTAGAGTTATTCAAAACAAATGGGGGCAGTGGTATTCTTACACTTAATTTTATTAAAGAAACAATAAGACTAATTTCATTCTGCGGCAAAAAGAACAAAAAGCTTTTTTATAACATACTTAAGTGTGAAATATAGATGTATTGGAAATATAATGTTCACATTTTCACATGTGAAAAATATATCCTTGTATTTTCTCCTGTGAAAATAATATTTCCCTTCATGAAGTGGGATGCTGAAACAGTGTGTCTTCAAAATTTGTATCTGCAAAATCAGAAAAAGGAAATGGTAATTGATCTTTAATAAAGAAACTTTACTGGACAGCATTCACAGCTCTCTGAAGTTATTTCCCCTTCCTTGACAACAGTGAGAGACCACTGTGATGCATTCCTGATTCAGATTTGCATTGTTTTCAGATAGGGTCTGATAGTTTGCAAAATGGCTTAAATGTAATTTACTGTGACACGTTATGTCAACCCAATCCAACCACTTTCTTAAGTTATCTATATTTATGAGATAAAGCCGTAAAAGAGGTAAAAAGGGTGTTTGTTGTGCCAGAGTAATTTTAATCCCCTGAACTTTTTGGGAGCAAGTTTGGTACATGTATACAGCAAATATAATGTTTTTATGTTAATACCATGGAAAACACTCAATGACATATAGCTGGCATTAATGTGGGAAAAGAAAAAATCCTCATTAAAATTTTTGGAGTTGTTAAATAACTTAGTACTGAACATGTATTATATTACCAATGATACTCTTTTATTTTTCATAGCGTGTTCATTCAGTATATATGAAGTACAGTACTCCCATTGTAGCAACTTAGTGGGTGTACTGTAAGTCCTTTAGTGAGGTGACATTTTCTGTTAAAGTAGATGTACCCTAATTAGAGGAGATGGAGTATCATACACTATGAATAATGAAGCAATTTCTTTACAATTGTTGACCAGAAAATGAACACCAATAACAGAAATATCTTTAACCTGAGTCATATTTTATGTAAGAATAGTCATTTGTTTTGCAGGAGATTTATTTGATATGT